CTAATATTAATTAACGTGTCAATTGCTTCTTGCAGATTTATAAATATTTAAACCTACAGCTGATCATTTCTACCTTACTAAATCCATATTTCTATTAAGACAAAAAAAATCTTACTACCATAATCTATTTTCTAGCTTATTTTCTAATTATCTGACATTTTTTGGATGCGCTGAAGCAAACCATAAATGATTCAAATGGAACATTCTTTTTTAGATGTAGCAATAAATACACTGAGTTAAATTCAAAAATGTTTGTTATTTTAAACATAAAAAAATATATCTTAGTTTACCGTCTAACATCTGTGCTGAGTTTATTTGTTTTGGAAGTAGCTGAAGAGGGTTTTCATATGTGTTTTCAGTCAGAAGAAACAGGTATACTGAGTTGTGCTAAATATGAATTTAAAACCTTTAAAAATGTATGACCTGTAATGCATCCCAGCTCAATGAGTTTATATCTACTCTAGAATGCTTGTTGACACCAGCCAGCTACTGTTTCATGTGTTACACTTTTATTGAGCCATTTTGAGTCAATTACTTCTGAAATACTGATTTTATTGAGAGTTCCCTACTTTCACATGTCTATTCTGAATGTTAATTTAGATAAATAAAGCCTCTTTCAACATCATAAACAAAGCACCCGGTTGCCAGCTGTTGCCGGTTTATTTGAACAACGGTCCAGCTCTTGCCATTGGCTTTAGCATTCATTCATTCACTCAAAGGGCTGGCCCTTCCTGGACCTTAGCTTCCAGGAAAATTTATAAAGAAAGCAAATCTCCCATCTTTGCATGTGCCGTCTGCAAAGGAAATACAAAAGCAGTCACAAAACGGAAGCACTCCTCAGATTTTCCAAGTGAAATGTATTCACATGTCTGTCTTTCAGCATAATGACGCAAACTTTTATTTATTTATTTATGTATTTATTTATTTATTTATTTATGTATTTATTTATTTATTTATTTATTTTATTCAAGGTTACCAATATGAAAACAGTCTGAGCAAGATGCAGGATTGCAAACTTTTTAAGTGTACATAAGTACTTTGTACTTTTTGAGATTTTGAAATTGGAGACAAAATGTAGAAAAAAAAACCCCCAAAAAACAAAACCTTATTTATGTGTTTCAGGGATGTGCAGCCAACCTACAAAAAAGTGAAAGGAAGTGTAAGAAATCACCTGTAGACTTTTTGCATGTTCCTGAGTTAACGGACACCTAGTCACCCTGACATTTTGTTCAATTTTTGTAAGTGCTCCTGTTACGTAATTGACAAGAGTCTATTGTCTGGCTGCAGAACAGGCAGTGCTGGAGTAGGCACTTTCCCAACAAAACACTGTGCCCACAACGCTGATCCCCTTTAAGGCTCAAGGCTAGAAATCATGACTAATAAGACAGGCAAGGTTAATTTGAGGAGCTTGAACTTACATCTTATTGCAGGGTCCCAAATGTTCTCTGGACAGGGTGTTGTTTATTAATCTGATAGGAGAGTTAAACTGTGTGAAATTAGAAATTTTCCGAGGGTGTTCTGGCTCATATGTTTGGATTTCCATCTCATGGGGTTTATCCCTGAAGCAAATTTTAAGGACGGTTTACTCTCAATGCTCTGTGTTGCATATAAATTAGCAACCCAAATAGAAAAATCACCTTAAGTGAGTGAGAGGTTCAGTGCATCCAATGTCAGAAATAAGCAGTGAATGATACAAAGTGGGAAACAAAGTTGTTGCATATTTATAGAAGATATATGTCCATGTAATGAGCAGCATCAAGCCCTGCTCATCTTCCTTTGTTTCCTAAAAGCTTGATTTTTTTTTGTCTGCCCTCAGTTGGCTGGAGACACTTTAATTAAAAAAAAATTACAAGAAAGATTAATGAGTTGCATCTTAATAAAGTTGGTGCAATAACATACTCACCCAACACACGGTGAAATTTGACATCACATATATCAAAACCGCTTTTTAATAATTCTGTTAAAGATCAAAATGTTGATTGGCTTAGAAGCTGGGAGATAATTGCTTTCTCACTTGTATCTTTGTTATGAGCAGCACTTTCAACCAAGATAATATAGCTCAGTAATGAATACAAAGTTAAAAAAAAAATAGTTGAGAGACCAGTGACTAACAACACTCAAATGTGCTTGTCTTGTTTCATTAAAAGTAACAAAACACAATTCATTTCGAAATTAAAGCCATGTAACGCAACAATCTCTGCCATTAAACCAGATTTCTTAAATTTGGGATTTTACATTTGCACATTCGTTAAACATTATGTGTAATTGTGAGAAACTTGTAATTGCTGTGCTAGTCTTGATTTTAATATGTTAAATGAAAACCATTTTCCCCAGACTAGCAGAAATGTTTTACTTATTTTATAACCAGTGTTAAAAATGGGCATTAGAAGGGAAATTGTGTCTCATTTTTCTAGTGTTGAAATTATTTATTTGTATTTTAGAAAAGAAAGTTCTAAATTTCATAGAAGAGCTTATTTTGAAGGTGTTTAAGAATCTAAATGTGGTAACTATCTCTGATTAAGTCAAGACATTCCCATCATATTGAGAAATAGAAACTACGTATGTTGATTAAATTCAATGAAAAGTTCTGCTGTCTGAAGGAAATGAACTAAGGTCTGCATTTTATTAAATAATGTCAAACATTAAATAAAAAGTGTACCATAGTTTGGCATTCAGAGCGTAAGATTCATACACACATCCAAGCACTTTATGGTAGTACGCTATATTGACAGGAACCAGGGATGCCGTAATCTGCACCACCAGGCCCTTTGACCACCAGCTCCAGGTGAGACAGGTGAAGTGTCTTCCTGAAGGACACAACGGATGAGAAAACCCACCGGTCACAGGACAAATCCTTACTCACTCGAGCCACTGCCATCCCCTTCTCACATTCAATGAGTGTGTCCAGTAACTAGCAAACGAAATAACGCACAGATGTTTATGTGCTTGACAAGAGATCTTATTTACATAGTTTGATGCTCCCTTCAATACTTCTCGAGTCACTTAGGTGATGTAGAAAGGCCTGAAGACATGCATGAACACAGCCACTATCAGGGACAGAGGACTGTCAGGATTAGACTAGGTTTTACACTCTTTGGAAATGTGGAAGTGTTCTCAAAATATGTTTACTTCCAAACGGGGACGGAAGTAAAACGGGCAAATATCAAAATAAATATTGTTGAAAATTTGAGAGATTTAATGTCACAGAATGCAGAAAAAAATAATAATGTGCTCTGACTAATGTATCTGGTCAAGAGAGCCTCTATATAATTATATCACATACTGATCATGGATAGAACACAGCACTTTGTAGCTTGCAACCACAAATGCTCTAATTCAAAATGGTTTGCATTAAAAGCACCCAACACATCATGAGCAAGATTGATTTATTTCTTGATTAACTTCTTTAAAATGTTTGCTGCTTTAAAGCGTTCTAGCTTTGCATACTTGACATTACAAAGTGTTTTATGATTTGATTATTTTTAATAAAAAAAATATATTTTTTGGTAAAGATATTTTTGCATTTCTTTGTTCATTAAATTAGATCTACCTATGTGACGGTGAGATTGGGTGAAATCATTTCAGGTATTTCTAGTAAAATACACATATTGAGCTCAAAATGTATTCATGTATGCAGTCATGTAAAGCACTTTGTGTTATAATTTATTCTGAGGAAGTATATAAAAAGTAATGTATAAATAAAGTTAGTTTAGTACTTAAATATTAAATTGTGCAATTGCTACAAAGCATGTGTCTTGCACAAGAGGTAAAATTGGAATAACTAACATTAGTGCAAACTAATGTTGTTTCTTTATCCCACAGAAGTGTCCAGGAGATTTTGGCTAATTGAAAGCTTTAGGTAAACATCCATTCACTTCTGAAAACTCACCCTTCCTCAGCCAGGATGCTTAGCTGCCCATGCTGTAGACATTCCAGTCTGATTGGCTTAGCTGCTGGCCTCCGTCCCAAAGGGCGTCTGTATAAAAACTCCCCAAGTGGTGAAATCCAGAGACAGACAGCAAACAAAGCTCAAGGAGACTTGCAGAGGGCTAACAGGAAATAACAATTCTCTTCTAAGTGCCGTAACTGAAAGCATCTGAAAATGTGCAAAGGATTAGCTGCATTACCGCAAACCTGTCTTGAGAGGTAAGAGAGTTATTCACCTGTTTTTAAGTGTGCAAAACAAGATGTAAACTGTGTTGTTACTCAGTTTGGGTGCTGAAAAGTTTCGAGGGAAGTTCAGATGTGTTTTTTTTTTCTATCTCAGATTAACATCTTGTCCCAAGTATTTTTTTTCTGGTTTTATGAGGCTCTTCAAATTCATTTTGTTATTATTTGTAACAGCATGAAAGTTAATATCTTTTTTTTTTTTTTAAGTGACTTTGCAACAACCTGAGATCAACACAATCTGTTTGTCTACTATAGCTTTATCAGAATCATAAAACAAAGCCATTTGATTTTAAACAACTTTATCAGCACAATGGCATGATGGTGATTTATATCCCGAGGACTTTAACTGGATCACTGTTACTTTTTCCAAGATGTCAAACCAAAAACGTAACATCTGCTCCTGATCTGCCTAACCCAGGGCCAAAGAGATCAAGTCAAAGTTGGGAGTTTTGCTTCAGAAGCCTGATAATGCCATCGACCTCATCATCCCATACCCGGAGAAGGTTGACAAGAAGCCGGAGAAGCTGCAGAAGTGAGTGTTCTGTTTTGTTCTACAAGACTAATGATTGGCTGTGCCTTCTAGGTGGCCTGTGTATTGCCTGTTGCCTTAACCAGATAAGTGAAGGTGAAGTGGAAGAACAGGGCCCTGAGCATTCACAAAGAGGTGCTGATCAAAAGAGATTAGACCTGCCCAGACATTGATTTGGCTCAGATGTCAAGTGCTACAAAGCAGATACCTTGAAGAGATTTCTAGGAGATAAAATTGTGTGGGAGACATTCGACCTTCCTTTTTTTGTTTCTTTTGTTTTGTCTTTTCTTTGCCTCGACTCTGTTGCATTACAACCGTGTAAGTATGAAATATGTTTGTACTTATCTTAGCTAAACGACAAGAAAAACCATCAAAATTTATCTCGGATGTAGTTGCCTAATGAGCAATCATGGAACTGGAATGCTCAGATAAACACAGGCTGCTGTTGACAAATCGTTTGATTGCAATACTTACAGTTCTGTCGCTAATCTTTCCAGAAGCACTTAAGACCTGAAACTCTGAAGAACTGTGCAGAAAACAGAGCATAGAGGGGGCAGAAATGTCACAACATTTTAAGATCAAACACAAACTTAGGTATCCATTGTACCCCTTTGAACTTGTTTTAAAGATTAAAGTCAGAGTTGAAATCGTTCTTGTTGCTGGTGTGACGCACACCAAATACCAGATGGGACCTGCTTTGGGGAAATGTTTCCCAGAGTTTAATCAACTGGAAAAACATGTCTGAGGTTGGAGTCTTTGTGGATCTGAAATACATGCGCTACATATGTGAATATTTATGTCATTTAATTATTATTTTTTTATAAATTCAGAATTTCCTTCTGGAACTGAACACTTTATTTTTGCTTGTGTTTGTTTTTGGATAATATCACCTTGGTGTTCTGTTGAAATTACAGGGCACTAGAGTCAGGCACAACACTTAAGTGTGGAAGCTGAGACATCTTTTCAAAACCAAAATTTCAGACATGTCCTCCATTGCTTCTCTTTATTTTAAAACTCATAACTCACACTGATCTATGGTTTCTCATCAGATTTTTCTTAAAATTGTTCTCCAATTGAGGAAAAAAAAAACAAAAACAAACAAAAAAAAACTAAAACTTTTACTAAGCACCCCCACCAGAAATATCCATAAATTCAATACTTACTATTTATTTTCTTTTTCTCCATGCAGGCCTGCTCCTGAGGAGGCTGCTCAGTGGCGTGAGAGTCTGGAGCGAGTCCTGAACAACAGCTGTAGGTCCCGTTCTTTCCTTGAGGTCTAACAGTGGCTATGTTAGTTGCTGTGGATTTTATTTGTAACCACAACTGGATTTGTAGAAAGAAAGGTTGTCTCTTTAAAAACATATGTTTTTAAAGAGACAATACTGGTTAATAAAGACTTTAGGTTTTTTTTTCTTATGATATCTTCCTCAAACTGTGTGACTCGCATATTCTATCTCAACAGTTTATGTGTCTGAAATCTAAAAATTGCACATAACAGCAATTTTAAAATGACACATTGCAGCATTCGGGTTTGAGTCGTTGGGAGTGCAGCCAAGCAAAGATGCTGCAAAACGCATCATTATTTTGTTCCATTCACACCATTACACAGCATCTAGAGCCACTGATGTCTAAACAGAATATACTCCTCTCCTGATGCCCAGTCTCTGTCTTGTTTAAACAGATTCAGCACACCAAGCAAGGCTTGGTTTCCATAAACATTTTACAGCTTGTGTGCTTGTTTAAAAGCCTGAATGATAGTAGTTAGGATTGAAATTGGTAATGGAAAATATAATGATGAGGATATTTTCTTTTAGTATCTCTTCCAAGTAAGTTTGCTTAAGGTTTACAGGACTAAAAAGATCTGATTTTCAATTTGTGAGTGCAAAAATGGTCCAGCAATGAAAACGTTTAAAAACTAGATTTGTAACCAGTTCATGTACACTTTTAGATCTAACCATTTAAATAAATTTGCATGTGCAATTGATCAAGTAGCTTAACATCTTCATAAACAAGGCAAAACTTGGGTCAATGTTTCAAACAAGTGAAAGCTCAATGTGGCTCTATGAATTGTGTCCACTGATGAGCAGCTGGAAGGAAGAAAGAAACTCTTCGAAAAGTAAAAAGTTCTGTGTTATTCTAGTTGTACTATGAAAACAGGGACATAATGATGAAGGAAAGAAGAAAGCTTTAGAAACTCTTATTACTCGGCAACATATTAAAATAATCAGGCATCTGTTGTAGCAACATTCACTCCATGCAACCACCCAGAAAAACAAAGACCCGTGACTAAATCTAAGCATAGTAAAGAGCCTGCAAAAAAAGTAATCTACAAGGACATATTTATATTGGAATATCTTAAAAGATGATGTTAACATTGGAGTAGTTTAGTTGCCAATCTAAACTAGAAGAAATGTTTGCAACGCTCAGTGTTGGAAAACACATTTATATTCTCTGAGCATACCACAAGCAGACTTCCTGCTCCACTGTTTACCTCACAAAGTGCTCAGAAAGCCTAACTGGTGAGACGGATGATTACCTCTAACAGTTAATGGTATTTATCCATACATGTAAACTATCCTGCTAATAAGTCATTTGTGTTAAAACCACGTAGAGATGTCACCAAGCAGCTGATTTGTGTACACTGAAACATTTTCTCTGAGGGGCTCAGTGGGTGGCAAAAGGCCTTCCTAAGTGACTTCTTTAGCACAGTTTGAGGCTCAAGGATGTATTTGTATAGCCTTTGCATGCTTGAGTTAGTCTGTGTACGCACTTATGCTCGTGTGTTTAAAGCTGCCCATTAAGGTTACTCGTGTGTTGGTAACGTCTCTAGGGAGACATCAGACAGAGTCCACAGGGCTCATTTATATCTCAGCTGCTGCTACCCGCTGTGTCATGATCGTTTAATGACTTTCCATCAACATTAGCAAAGTAGCTCATACAGGAAAATTATATTTCTTTCACTTAATGTGGAAACCAACCAATACTAAGAATAGAATCAAAATTCTGCTGACACAAGCGTTGAGCTAAACAGTCTTTAATTTTTGATATACACAAAGTGTTTTTCATTTGTGCCTGTGAATGTGTGCTTCCTCATATGTGTGTCCTTGTACTAAAGGTCTGTCAAAAAAAAAAAAAAAAAAAAAGGAAAAGCTGGAGCTTGATTGCGACTCAGAGCTATTTTGGACCAAGCCGCCATTTAGATGGAAGATAAAAGCCTAAGGCCACAGCAGAATGCTTATCATCTGCAACACCGGCTTGTTCAGACAATGGGAGCTTTCACCAGCATTGTGTGAAATCACAATAACCCTGGCTGAGATGTGTGGATCTTATGCTTTGGGATAACCAAAGCGCATTTACTTTTAAAGTAACAAATCGTTCCTGAAAGTACATAGTTAGAATGCAACTCTATGAAGTAACAACAAAAGGTAAATCTTCCAAAATGGAAAAGAATGCAGTTCATGCATTCAGCAATAATAAGTATTTGTGGTAACCCATGTCACCTAAACATCAAACGTTATGTCTGATTTAATGTCAGACAGTGATTAAAAAAAAAAAAAAAAAGTGTGTTAGGACAACGCAGTTATTAAGAGCAACCTTATTTTGGGCCTCATTTGTATTAAGTGAAGAAAACTGAAAGGTCTTTGGGAAACTTTTGGTCAACGTAAATATTTTTGGTAAGAACAATGAGATGAAACACTTTACAACACATTCCACTTCTGTCATTCTATGGAATACTCTCCTAAAGCTTTGAAGTCTTCAATATGTCTTTCTAGATAACATGAGAGTCTTTGTCATTTTTTTTGGTTGACAATAATTTTGGCCCTGGTGTTTTCCCTTAAATGCCCTATTTTGCCCAGTCTCTTTTTTACTGAGCATAACTGATAACCTAATGTTTGGCAAATGAGTCCATGATGCTCTGAATGTTGGTTTGTTGTCTTTTTCTCCTGGATTAGACTGGTAGGCTGGCCACTCCTAGGAAGGTTCATTAGTGGTCCAAATTTTTACAATTGTTTGCAATACACTGTCATAGAGTTCCAAAACCTTATGAGTGGCTTTTTAAAAGTGACGATTAAATGTGATAAGTAGAGGTTAAATGGATAAACAGATGTTATATTTAAGTAATTCCTTTGTCATATAAATTCAACTAGCAACCAGCCCAAAGATTTTTAGCGTTTTTCTTCCTCTTGTGATGTAATTAATGTGGCTGTAAACTGATATGCTTTGCTCAAGTGTCACGCAGATGTGTAGTTAATGCTTAAAGCAAATCTATGATTGTGTTCTCCTCATTGATTTCATTAACTCCCTCTGTCTTTGTCAGATGGCCTGGCTGCTTTCCGCAGTTTCCTTCAGTCTGAGTTCAGTGATGAAAACATCGAGTTCTGGATGGCCTGCGAGGACTTCAAGAAGACAAAGAATCCCATGAAGATGGCTGCCAAGGCCAAAAAGATCTATGAAGACTTCATCCAGTCAGAGGGACCCCGAGAGGTCAGACAATGCCCATTCCTATGTTATATTCTACAATATAATATTCTATATTAATATTCTATATTAATAGAATAAGTTATTTATATTGTACGTGGCCATTAAGCAATGTTAGACTCGATTTGTGTCTGTTTTTTTCTGCTAACTGCATATTTTATAACTTTTCCTCATCAGGTGAACATTGACCACTTCACCAAGGATGTGACCCTGAGGAACCTGGTGGCTTTGTCATCTTCTACCTTTGATCTGGCTCAAAAGAGAATTTATGCCCTGATGGAGAAAGACTCCTTTGGTCGTTTCCTCCGTTCTGATCAGTACCAGGAGCTTCTGGTCAACTAAACCAAGAAAGAGGCCAGGAAGGTGGGGAGGTTTCAAACAGCAGCTGATTTTTAAAAATGAAGCCAAATTCACACATTTGATTCAAGCAAGTATATATAAAGCACTTCTGCATATGACTGAGTAAAGAATTTAACTATTCTCAAAATTAGGTTTCAAAATTTGGCTCTAAATTTAAATAAAATGACAAACTGCATCTTGAAACAGCCCCATCTTTCCACGTAACACATGTTCCTGAATTTCTATCTGAACTAGAGATTTTTGGGGAAGTTGATTGAACCTGTTATTGTTAAAGTTTCCCCTGGTATATTCATCAGATATATCTCCTCAATATTCAAAGTAACTGAAACAAAAAAAGGTTAGAAAGCAGGAACATTTTCATTTTTCAATTTGCTCCTTTAATTTGAGATGAGAAAACATCTGAATACACTTTTAAAAAAAAAAACAAATGTTACATCTGTCAAAATATATAAGATATTTCAAAAGTTGCTTTGCCACAAATCCATCAATTTTACCTTAGAACTTTAAGTTCTAAGACTACATCAATATTTTGTTTGTAAACATTTATATATACAAAAAAAAAAAACGATGACGATGGCTTAATCTTATGAGGAAATAGTTGAATTTCTAAGTAAGCCTTGGGAGTGTCCGTTGGTTTAATTTCAGAGCAAATAATTAATGAAATAAGTAATTTCACAAAAAAGACTTTAAGCATGTAAACTGACAAACTTTATTATTTTCATTCTTACTGACCAACAAAATTCTTCTTAACAGATGATGACCAGTTTAGATAGTCTTCATGAGAAAAATGCATTAAAAGTTTTCTAAAACTGAATGTAAGACTATATCATGCTTATGTGATTTTAACAAGAAAACTCAATAAACACTTATTTTACATACATTTTAGTGTCTGGAAGAGAAATGAGTCATTTATCTATAAAAAAAGACATGCAAAGGAAGCTGTTGCAAGTCAAGGGCAAAACATTTAAAATCCTTTGTTATCATAATGTACTTATAAGTATGAAGCTGTATCAGTGCACAAATATGAATTTTCCTGTTTCTCCACATAACTGTTTCACATTTCCATTATTAGCACACTTGGATTATTACCAAACCCACCTTTTAGTTGCAATTCCTCCTGTGGGAGCAATTCATGAGAACAGTGCTGACTAGCTGGCTCAGTGGTGCAACCCTTAGGTTGCCACTAAAATGCAAGTTGCTAAGATGGGAAAACCAAGTAGGAGGGAATCTCAATTTTATAAATGGCATAAACAGAGTTGTGGGTTTATATGAAGAAAGTTCTTTTTATTTTCCCATGTGATAAAACTAAAGTTTCACTGCAAGTACACATGCCAGGTCCCTAAGAGGTCCAGTTAATAAAAACATGGGAGAAGGAACTTAAAGGTTTGCAGCACTTGATAATACCATGCCATGTAGGCAATTATATTTGTAAATCCACTTATTGCAAGTTAACTTTAAGACTCAAATGAATATCCACAGGAGAAACATTATCAAAATTACAAATCCTGTAGTTTTTTTTATTTTATTTTTACAATTATCTCCATCATACAGCATTTAAACCACAAGTCATCAATTTTTTTTAAGCTACAAGAAATCATAAATCACCCAGGTACACTTGGTCAAGATAATCTGATATAATGCAGAGGTTGTTGTAAGAGTGCAATGTTTAAGTGTAAAGTGTTTTGCAATGAGTTGATTGTTGACAAATGTATTCATCATTAAATGTGATTATATGTACTCTTTTTTTCCTTTTAAATTTAGAAATTATATTTTAACCACCACTGAAAACAAATCTATATTCAATATATTCAGCATTTTAAGCCCTTAACATACCGATACAGCTCACTAATTTCAGATGGTATTTAAAAAAAAAAAAAACATTTTCAAGTCATTAACTGAATTTTAAACTTCCTATATACTGCACTAGATGACAAGTACATCAATTATCCAATCATTTTGGAGAGAATTGACGACAGGGTCCATAGGGGCACAGATTGACCAGTCTGGTGCCAGAACCCTAGAACTACAAGCTAATAAATCATTGGAATATCATAAAATATATAATGTGAGGGCTTTAATAATGCTGAATATATGTAATTGCATGTAGCCTTGCATGTATGTTTTGTAGTGGATCACATAAAATATATATGATGCATACAATTGTTGAAGATGTATTTATTTATATTTGTAAATATCCATCTAAGTTATTCTAAATACAACAATGGAGTCAATGATTCTTTTCATGGAGAGCTGCAGAGAGCTCATAGGATCTTTCTACTGTTATAAAAACAAACTTTGACTTTCTTTTGTCACTTTGTTTTTCTTCACTAGACAACTATAAAGTTTTGTGGATGCAAAGACTTACTTTTTTGTCATGGGGATCAAAGTGTTATAGCGGGTTTGGAAGACTTGGTGAGATGATCTTCAAACGGAAAAAGCTTTTTCTTAAATAGAAAAAAATCCTAGAGAAGAGTTTCAAGGCTATTGTTCCTCTGTAGATAGACGCCAGCATTTACTCTCGCAACAAGGAGACTAAACCAAACTTGTTTCTAAATGAATGTCAGCTGAAAATAGTAAAAGAGAAAAAAAATCGATGTCTTTTGCTATTCGTATGACAACTTTAGTCAGAACATAATGAAATAAATTAAAGACCTCATTCAGTTTTGTCTAAATGGTGGACTGAACAGAACAAAAATCAAAAGCTGCACATAGCACAAGGCTGCATGTAAGAAGTACGCAACTCAAACGTCAGTAGGGTTTGAAGAGCAGAGCGGAAGCAGACGCGACTGAAGAACTGGCTGCAAACAGTGTCACAAATTCCAAGGACCCATCAGTTACAAGATTTCTTGGGCGTAATGGAAAAGGTCACGTACTTTTAGTCCCCAAAGGGGTCTGTGACTTTCTGACCGAAACTTTGTTTAGCTGCATAATATACAATACTTTGACATATTTCCAGAAACCTGGTAATGTGAAATCTTAAAGTTATGTCATGTGAAAAGGCTGAATATGTGTATATATATATATATATATATATATATATATATATATATATATATATATATATATATATATAAACAATTGTGTTTACCAGTATACAATATAACTATTATCTTGCTAAGGCTTGCAAGGCATCTGAAACTGCCATAGCACTCGTGTTACTGTCTACAGTTCATTCATTCATAAACTTTATGTATACATTTAATTCCTATGAAAAATATTATTGAATTCACTATGCAATACAAAATGTGTTTTGTTACAAGTAAACATCATTCAAATATCACAAAATGTATGTTTATTTTAAAGTTTCCTGTCGGGGAGTGTTGCTCTTAGAAGTACCTGACTGCCAAGGAGAAGATCGACACACTTCTGTAAGGTTTCCCCGAGGTAGACATGGTGAAAACGGAGCCACAGACACCCAAAGCTCCAAATCTCCCATCCACAAGGGCATACCCCCACAAGAGAGCTCCAAACCCAACACAACCATGAACCATGAGCCCACCACATGAGCCCACTCCAAGCCCCCTCCCTCCTTGACGCCCTTGGTGCCAGCCCCTCCAGCGTAGTTGGAATCTGTATTTTATGTCACTAACTCTCCATTTTAGTTTCATCAGTGCAATTACTAATAACATATCAGGCTTAGTAGACTTCTAAAACTGAAGTAACATGCTAAAACTGAAGAGGTGGTGATTTCTTGCGTCAAATCTTGTGACAATTTATGCCAACAATAATAATGACTAATTTGCCATTCTCAACACTATAGTTGAACCAGATAGTTGTATAATCTACCACCATTTATCATCTACATGTCATCTGTACATCTACGCATTCTAATCTGTAATATATATTCATCAGTCACAACAGTACATCGAACGGGCAATCGTAATTCAATTTGTAAGCACTCAATGATTGAAACTTCGAAAAAAATGTCAGAACCTTAATTTTATTGTTGACTTTTATGAACCTAGTAAAATCCATAATATGTTATCAGTGTACCTTCTTTTAAAAACAAGTTGACTTATCACATGAATGATGTGGCTGTATTTTGTTGTTGTTATTATTCTGTTTTCTAATGTATGTTGTTAAATAATTGACATGCTGCTTTGTCTTCTGTTTGTATTATCTCATTTTTTCAGGTCTGAATTCAAGTCCATTCAGACTTTAAGCCACTGGCTTTCCCCAAACTAGTCAGAGGATCATGTCTTCATGTTAGTAAATTCACATGAAATTATGAAACTCACACAGTCTTTGTGCTCAGTCAGGTTTACAATGACACCATGTCTAATCTTCCCTTTATTTAGTGTTTGCAGGATTTATTGAAAGCAGATGGTGTGGATAGGATGAACTCAAAACCCTTACACAGTGATCAACAGTGACGTCGGCCCTCATTCACACAATTCATTTTTGTCTGTCACAGTAATTAAGGTACTTGACCTAGAAAACAAAGACAGCCAAGCCCAATTTAAATTCCACTTTCATTCTGTGAAGATCAGTGTAATATTTTACTGAAAAGTTTGTGAACAATGTCTGTTAATCACACAATCACAATCAAAGAGCACATTATGAAACTCAAGATCAGGAGTGCAATATTCTTCAGTTTCTATGGTGACAAATACTTCCTGTTTGGTGCAGAACATGACTTGTTTATCTGTTGGTTCTATGCTGACAGTCAATACTTGATAGTCACAGGTGTGAATCTTACCTAATCTGGAGTGACGTTCTATAGAGCATTGAGCAGATACGTTGTTTGCCATATTCAGTCATGTCTCACCTGCTGACCAGCTGTCCTTTGTTTGTCAACCTGCCTGTTAACTCCTGCCACTTATCAGCTTCAGACTGCTTACAACTTACCCAGCTGCTTCTCTTTGTCTGATTAAGCTTCATGTGTCTTCTAAGAAAGCCCATAATACACTCAGTTTATTCAGTTTAAGTTTGTCTGAGCTTAAATGTCAAGGGATAAATACTTCCAAATCCAAAACATTGCTTGATTAATTTCCATCATCCTTATTTTAGTCAAGTTAAGTTTATTTACAAAGCATATTTCAGCAACAAGGGAATTCCAAGTTCTTTACATCATAAAAATATAATACCGTAACAAATTCTGAAACAAGCAATACATATTGCATTGCTTCAAATGCCATCATCAAGCAAGTATGCATCAAATATATTAACATTAATCAAAGGCAACTCTAAGTGGGAGGGTTTTTTAATGTAAATGAAGTCAGTGTTTCAGCTGTTTTGGAGTTTTCTGAAAGTTTGTTTTTGGAGTTAATGTAAGGACATTAGAGCTGGGGTGATGTGCTCTTCTTTTCTCGTTTTAGTGAGAACGTGATGGCATCATCTGCTCCAAAGCCTACAGGAAGTCCTCGCCGATCATTCGCCCTCAAGCAGAAGGTGACAAAAATGTAAGGTTGGATTTCTTTCAGTCTTTTAAGGCTTGCCCTGGGTCTGTACCAAACTGGACTGAAGGTGTTTTGGAACATTCACAAAAAGAGACACCTTGTGTACAGGTTCAGGAATAGCACTGATGTATTATAACAACTTATAATATTGAGAACCCTGACAAAGGAGACAATGATGGAGATGGTGCCTTGTGGTGTGGATGGGTATTGCGCTGACCTGCAATACCCATCCAATTGCGCTTGCAGGTTTAATTTCTGTTGCAACCATAGCTTTATGGCAGCCTTTTCTGTCAGGATAAACATTAGTGATCTCATGAAAAAAAGAAAGAAATGCTAGAAATTTTAGATTGTTTTGAAAATGTACTTTATGGGAACAAAAAAAAAAAAAAATAGGAGCAGTTGACTCTCTTATGAAGTCGTGTTGTGGGTGCTTAAACATTTTCATTTAAGTTTCATTTAAGTGTCTTTCATTTTTCGAAAGTATCAACATTCACAGTTGCACAACATAAAGTTCCACAAGTCAGCATGGCATGCCACATTTGACTATTGGTATTATTATTGTTATTATTATTACGATTCAAAACATGATTAAAAGGCATTTAGTTTATTATCAAAACTATGCTTTTAAAAACTGTTTGGCCAATAATCTGGTCCTCAAAAGCAATTGCTCACTAACTTGCCCCTTTAAAAAAATCTTCACTTAATCCCATGATTATTAGGTTATTTTGATGCAAACTAAACTGATGGATTTTGTATAATATTCCCTGTGAACCTCTACCCACTTTGAAATATCCTGTGGGCCTGATTTCCCTGTATGTGTTGCAGTCCAGACTGTTTTCATCTATGCTTATGACATAGAAAAACGATCTACAATGCCAGTGGCTTACTTCTACCTGTTATGTTCGGTGTTTTCTGTGTAGTTATTTTTGAGGTTTTCTGTGTTAAGTCCTGTTCCGGTCCTGTCATCCCTGTTGATTGTTTCTCAGGTGTTTCTAGTTACCTGATTACCCTCCCTGTGTATTTAAACCCACCTGTTGTCTTTGTCTCTTGTCGGGTCTTCGTCTTATGTCAGTTTTGTCTGTTGTGTGCTGGCCAGTTGAACTGGATAGTCCTGGTTAAGCATAGCTCTCCTATTCAGTCTTCAGTGTCATCAGTTGCTACCGGTAATTAGCTGTATGCTAACCTCTCTGCCGTGCTGCCTGTCATCCTGGACTGTTTGGAGCTTCCTTCATTAAATCACATCATTTTCACCACAACCTGGGTTCAGCCTGCGTCTCTCCTCACCACCTCAAACCCACTTCATGACTCTACCCTTTAAAATACTTCAAGACGTATTTCAAAGAAAATGCCTGTAATAACACTCCTAACATAGAGAGTACCTGACATTTTTCCTTGTCTATGCTGATGCCACCAACAATGCCAGGTAATTCATTTTCAGTTCTATTTCTGTACAAAGTAAAATATAAATCTTTGAGTGTTATTAAGCATACTTGTGAGGCGACATCATCACAAATGTTTTCTTATTGTAAGTCTGAGGCAATATTCTAATTTTAAACATATTAAATAAATAAAAAAGAAAACTAGAGGCTTGAAAACAATAGTCTGCATGCCATCCAGATCATTTATTCCCCCTCAAGCAATGAGTTGTGGGAATAATTAAAGGTTTTAATAATGTTCTAATTTAGCAAATATGACTGCAAGCACATTATGCAACACTTCCATAGTTAATGAGAAGGTGCAGACATATTCTGAAGATCAATTTTATCCTGTAACGTTTATAAATGAAACATCATTAAATGTTAAACCACACATCCAGACATGTGGCAACAGGGATGTGTGTCTTGTATGTACTTGGTGCATGCATAATCGTGTGGTAGAGATAAGTGCTTTTGTGTCCATGTGTATCAGAGGGTACGTGCTTTCTTGTGCGCATGATGACATTAGAGCTCCAGACCCTCCTGACAGGTTTCAATTATCAAAGCTCACAGCTGCTCAGCGTTTGAAAGCCTGGAGAAAAAAATCCACCGATAAGCAGGTTAATGCAAAATGGAGTACCGCTTAGGGCCAGAGTGTCTCAGCCCGTCCAGGACCTGGGCATTATTACAGCTGCGAGCAAAAAAACACACATACTTACAAGACAAAACCTCGAGAATTATATAT